CAGTTTTGATGCCATGGCGAGGACAAAATGGCAGTAGGGCAATGCAGTTCTTCCCATACGATGGAGAGTTGGTCTTTACTGTTCATGTATTCCTATAAAATGTGAGGGTTGATGGGGAACGAATGGATTTGGTTGGCACCATTCAGCGTGCATCAGTCTTGTCACATTTCTGATGACTACCTCTGCTTCAAATTCAAGACCAAAGCTATTCTGAACTGTTTATTGACAGGGTTTTCACTCCTCTGGCACTGGCTCTGATTTGTCGAGCTTCACAATATCGAGGGAGTAGACTTTGTCACCCTTGACGACGTCATAGCGGCAGAAGTGCTCATCCTGAAACAAGAATGATTCTTTCCTTGCCTGCTGGATTCGCACCATAAAAGGCCAGTACCTTTTCACTAGAACAAATCCTTTTCTTCAGAAGGACATAAATAGTAGACATAAATAGCAACAACAGCAACAGCCCTCTTCCACTATGGTTCCCAACTTGCAGGGAGAGTGAAAACCCCATACAAAGCGGGCATACTCAACCTATCCCTCCCTAATTGGCCCGGTTCCAAACGTATTATTTACTTGAGCGCACCACGAGTTGCCAGAGTCTTCAAAACAGAACTGAATTAAGTTCCCAGATATTAGCTTTAGGATGAGTGGGATCATGGAGTGGTAAGTCGTGGAGTGGTAAGGTAAGGCCAGCCCTTAGCGATGGAAGGTGGTAATGAAAGAGATGAATGGGAAGTTAGGACTTTTCGAAGATCGGAGGCATGGAATCGGATTACTGGCAGTATTAGAATAGCAAAGTCAAAAGTCGCAAGAGTAGTACATCACGTACATCGAAGAAGAAGCCAACGGAGTAGCCCTTGGGTGATCGGTTCACGCAGTTCATAGCCCATCCAGGGCGGTTCAGCTTGGTGGCCAGAGCCTTGACGATTCCCTGAACGAGGTAAACTCAAGAAATGTTCGTTTCATTGCGAAAATATGTGAAATTACAGTACAGTATATCATCTTACAGTTGCAAAGCTGATATACTGTAGGCAAATTTGGTCTTACTCATAGGGTCAATTTGATGATTTTCCCCACACTGGGAAACCCCTTAATTCCCTTCCGAATTCCTGCATCTTCTGAAGCAATTGAGGACTTGTTTAAGTACTCACCTCGCAGGAATCCGCAGCATCCTTGACAGCCACCTCGATTTCTCCTCTAAGTTGTGCATCAATACAAGTGTTGGCGTTGCGCTTGTCAACGTTCTCTGAAAACGCGAACAGGATCAAGGATAAGTATGAAGGATAAACTCTCGGGATCAATCCCTTCTGAGTGATGCGCCCACGCATTCGACTCCCAATCAAAATCGTCGTGGCGTACTGAATGCGTATGTGGCTCATACAATGAATTGCGGTGGCCAACCGATTTTGTCTTCCCCGTCAGGTTTGGTAATAAGCAACCGACCCCGGAGGGATGGAAGGCCTAGATGGCCTAGACGAATATCGATATTGTTGGTTCACGAACTTTTTTAGCGACCTAACCTGCAGTTGCCTTCAAGTTGGCGAGTTGGCTTGTACGGTGCTTTGCTTCTGTGATATTGAAAATCAAGGGATTCTTGAGGTCCACCTGTAGGAAACTGCTTTTTATTCGTGTGAAGGTACTCATCGAATATGTTATTTACTAATATTTGGTCAGTGTAGAAAACAACAAAGTATGTTCTTTACATAAATTTCACAGCCATTCGAATGCCGAGTCTTACCCTGAACTTCTGCAAAGCGTTGCCATCCTTTGAGTAATCGAAGCAATTGTATTTGGGGTTCAGTTCTTCTCCTCCAAGAGCATAGCTGACGACAGAGGTGTCGAGAGTGAAGGACCAAATACCGTCTACCGTTTGTGATTCACAGGCTGAAGTGAGAACAAAACTGAAGTACCTTACTTTACCATGGACCAGGTTCAGGTATTAATAGCTTGGAATAGTTCGTCCTAACTTTTAAAGGCACAGCTCACGTTAATTCTGGGGTATCCGGTTTTTTGGCGAAATTTGACAAAAAATGTTAGATACGGCCTACAATAGTACAATGGTAATAGAGAAAACGCGAAAAAAGATGAACATAAGGAAATAGACAGCTACGAAAAACAAGGGAAAAGGGGGGGTCGGACGAGCTAAATGGCGAAAAAACGGCGATAAGAATTTTTCGGGCGAGTCAGACAAACGCGACGCAGTGTCTGCCATTGCACACAACACACCAACAGCTGATTTTGGCTTATTCATTAAAACTAATTCTCCTACCGCTATTAACCTGATTTATTATGCAGTATCAATTTCGACCTTTTGACGACGGCTGAGAAAAATTGATTAGAATAGAAAAGCATAGAATATAGTCGAATACTAGGGAAACAGCATAATAGTAGTCCCAATACGAGGCGGTCGACCAGCTGACCGTCTGTGGGCAATTTGCCAACCAGCCTATCAATTTTTCACTAATGTTGCTCCAATGCGAAAGTGGTGAAGGACAATTTGAACTCGTAGTCAACCTAGCAAGGGGCGGAGGCCTGACGTCCCCCACTGTTCCTGCCCTTATTGTACCTATCCAGACCGTTTTCCGACCTCATTCCTGCACAAATGGTATCAGAGGGGGCTTCGAATTCAAACCATGTGCAAATCTCTGAAAACACTTTTTCGTGAGCTGTGCCTTTAAGTATTTATCAATAACAGCTATACTTACTGGTCGCCGCAGCGAAAGCTACACAGACAGCAATAAGCGCGTCCTTGAACATCTGAAATTGAAATCTGCATAAGGACGTCAGAAAATTTGAGAAATCCGATAACGATAGGCACGGTCGCAAGTGAGGTTGCTTATTTCTAATCGTCTAATATAGCGAATTTAGAGGGAAGCAGAGAATAAGAGTATGAAAGATCTCGATGAAACTCCACTTGCTGGAGTAAAGAGTGAAGTGTAGTATGACCCGAGCATATTCAGCGTTCGTATTGTTCTGAATGTTCAGAAACTTGGATATTTCCTTCGAAATACCTTTCAGAGGATGATTAAACGCGAGGAAGAAAGAGCTTGAAATGAATAAAAAAGGAAATCGGAGTTTGTCTGTGTTTGAGCGATTGTCGGAGTCCAAATAGCGATCGAATTTCAAGAAAACGTACAGCTGGCAGCACCGTAAGAAATCAACCTGCACTTGCTAAGCCCGATTATCCCATTGATACCTTTCTCGAAAAGTGAAATGACAGAGGAATTTACAGTAGCCAAGAGTTACGGTAAGTTTCTTTGCAAATACTGGCGTTTGTTGGCTCCGGAACAGCCATCAAAGCTTGGAGAGAGACCTGGTCATCTGACAATGAGACTACAACAGAAATGATCGGATCCCTGGAACAGCCCACTTGAGTCTTTCATGTTATAAAAGAGGGAAGGAACGGCCACGCCGGGGGATGACATTCCCTTTTTGTTTCTACAGTAGGGAAAAAGTCATGGGTTCGAGTCACTGAATGTTATTTGGGATTGGAGAGGAGTTTTTGGACGGGTGAGGAAAGTAGCTTTCTATGTATGGAGCCGCAGAGGGGTTGGGAGGAATAGTTTAAGCCCTCCTAGCCCTCAGTAGAGCTACCGGACCAAGGTTAGCAAGGGTGAATGTTGTCACACTGCCCTCGAGGAGAACTATATATACAGGAGAAGTACAAGAGGGTTAGTCAAATGACCTGAACGTTATCGCGTGCAAGTCCGGGTCGACTCACTCGATCTAGTCTTTCGTAGTAACTGATAACTCTTCTTTTTCTGAGCTTATGACCTGTTAAGGACTTTGACATAAGAGACGTCCGGATGCTTGGCAATGTTCAATGACAGATGGAGCTGATAAAAGAATTAGCGAACCAATCGAATCGGTCGATTGCATTACAGTGACAGATTTTTTGATAAATGGGGGCGAAAAGTAAACTCTCGTAGTCAGCTCTTTCGCCGGATCTTCTATGATTCTTCTCTGAGGTGATAATAATATCTTTCTGAAAGATGTAAAGATTGCCATAACACTCATGAATTAGATGTGATGCGTCAGTCACCAACATGAATCACTCATGCATTGCTTCATTCTTTAAGTCGGTGGTTGGTACATAGGTCTGTTGGCGTTGATCAATCCCGTCTGAGGGTGCTCTACGCATTCGACCTCCTTTCAGAATCGTAGTGACTATCGATTTGGTGGGTGGCCTATACAATGAATTGCGGTGGCTAGCAGATGTACGAGTTGTTGCTTTTAAACTCCCATACATGTCTGATACTAATTAACCGATCTCAGAGAAATGGAAGGTTTTGTTAGCCTAAGCGGATATCGACCCGGGATTCGAACGTTTGCGCGTTCGAATCCCGGGTCGATATCCGTTTCGGCTATGCGATATCCGATATCCGTTTCGGCCATGCGTTTCGAAATAGGGCCCATTCCAGTCAAGGAGAAGGCACCGCATACCATCACACTTCCTCCACCATGCTTAGTTGTGGGTAGAGTGTATTTGCATTGAGCCTTTCCTCATTTTGACGTCGTCCGCAGCGTATACCATCGCTTTCCAACTGATAGAATTTGCGCCGGTCTGTAGAAGGAACTCTAGGGCATACAGTCGACGTCCAGACGTGCATTCAGTCGTGAACGGCTTTTTGGCCAGACGTCTCCCATAAATACCAGCATTGTTTAGGAGTCTTCCTGCAGTCTGATGGCAAGCAATGGCGCCGTCGCTAGCACTGAACTCGGCGGCAATGTCAGTCGCAATGAGTCGACTTCGAGTGAAGTGTGATCCGTCTGCCCTGGGCTGGTAAAGCACATTGGAGTCTTCTCGTTCTCTAAGTATTGCAGACAGAATTTCTGACCTGCTAGCATGGGATAATCAGAGAAATCGTCTGTTGTTGGTTCTTCAAAATTTTTAAAACGACCGTGACTTTCATGCCCGATACCTTTACGTGCTGCCAGCCGAACTCTCTGAGTGACTATGCATGCCTTGAGTGTATAAGTACTAAAGTCGAGCACGAAAGGGATGCAAAAATGCAATTGTCACTAACCTAGCAGCCAGGAAAAATCGCTTCTGTAGTAGAACCTCTGCGTGTAGTTATCTTATCTCCCCGTCTTGAAACTAAAAATTATAGCTGGTTTGGTTTATGGTGAGGTTTGACGTGTCAAATTTTTCTTGCTCTCTACCAGGAAAAAGGTTACGATTGGAAAGGCGTTTCACCGAAGACTTTTGGCTGCTACTGTAAATGTTTTTTAGCCAGTAGATGGGTAAAGACGGGGACAACCGTTCCGTGCGTCCGTCAAAAGTGTTAGGTTGATGCGTAATCTCTTTTCCATGACTTGTGTGTAAATATCTCAATAGTTAACCATCCTGAAGATTAGAGTTATGCTCTGTCACTATCCACTGCTCGACACCAGCTTGTCGATTCCGTCCTATCACAAGGACGGGAAAGGGACTTGAAGAAGTCGTCGAGTGCTCTCTGACCTTACCCTCTGTGTCGAATTACGAGGATTCGAACGGCATTGTGATCTCCATATGCAAGGTGAGCGAATGATAGCGTGTGTAATAAAACAGGGTCATGCACACTTTATCCACAACTACCAACATCCATGCAAACGAAATACATAAGGGTCAAAAACGATGGAAAAAACTTATGCATCAACATAAGTAGTCACCCTTTGCGCTCGGCAAATCTCTGGATGACATCACAGTATCACCAGTTGTCAAAGGAGCGAATGATTCCCACTATTATGCGTTATCTTCTCTTTGAGCAGTCGGTTTTTGCAGTAACCCCTCAGCTTGTACTATCCACCCCGTGTCTTTGAACAAGGCTCCTTTTATATGCGCCGTAAATGTGACGGGTGAAAATTTGCGTATTAACACGTGCCGGATTACTGTAAGAGCCGAGTGGCTGGTTTCATAGTCCGCCGGCCGTTCGGCGTGCCGGCGTGCCAGCCGAGGTGGTACTAGGAAGGGAGGCAGACGGGTGTCGACGCGGTCGCGTTGCGCCCAGGCCCCTTCGAAGGGATGAAAACAAAGAAAACCAAGACTAAAAAACACTTGCATAAGCCCCTCCGAAGGGCAAACGCAAACGGTTTTTGACCTTGTTTTTCTTTGTTTCAGCCCTTCGGAGAGGCTAAGGCGCGACGTGGCCGCGTCGACCGCCCGTCCGCCTCCCTTCCCTTCCTAGTACCACCTCGGCTAGCACGCCGGCACGCCGAACGGCCGGCGGACTATGAAACCAGCCAATGCCATACTGAGTTTTCGTTTCTGTGCCGCGGGCTAAGCGCGGATCGCATGCCCCATTGATAAACGCGACGCCCTTCAAGAATCGCGGACAGAAGTGCTGCGTACGACGGCGGCCCCCTCCCATCGTGCCGCCCATTCGACGCGGTTTGTGAGCTGGCCAACGCATACGGGTGATTCGAACTCCTAATCGGTGCTGCTGCTACCTGCTAATCGTATCGTACGATGCTAATCTATGAAGATAGACAAGATACAAGTAGGTTCGGAATTCGGGGTCTAACAGTAGTGGCGTCATTGATAGAGCGTATATGAGCTGAATGGGCAAGGGGTTGGCCGTTAGTACGGTCAGAAGGAAGAACCGTCTGGACGAGTTGTCCAGCTCAGAAACCGTGTTCAGTGGGCGCCGCGATGTGAAGGGCTGCGCCAAACGACCGCATGATGGTGGAACACTCGAAAAGAATCATCAAAAGGACAAGATTTTTGAGAAAGCCCTACAATTTCTTCGATACAATATTGGGTCAAAAAGCTCAGTTCGCGACATGTTTACCGGTTACCTCCTCAGTGCTCTATCGCTGTCTATCAGTGCCATGGAGTGCGTTTCAGTAGTTTGCGTCCACTCCTCATCTCAACACAAACGCTTCCTAAAGGAGTGATCCAGATAAGAAGAATCATTAGGGAATTCGCTGCATTGGAGGACGACAGGGAATAGCTCCACACATTTTCAAGTTTACAAAAAAATGTTTTATAGGTATTTTTTCGATTTTCGACCGTTTCATAGTACAGGTTCACTTTCAAATAAACAGCTTACTTACTGGAACTCAACAATGTCTTCCATGAATATCAATAACCATTTAATGCACCCCGTTTGAATGACAGCCTCATGAGTCGATGTGGCATATCCATTATTAGGTTCCTTAGGAATGAAGGGTCTATGTTTCTCCACGCCTCCATAACTGCACTTCGCAACTCTATGGTGAAAACTGCCTCTGTTGGTGAGCACCTGTCGCAAGATTTTTCCCAAACGTTCCCCATTGGGTTCAGATCAAGACTGCACGCAGGTCACTCCAAAACAACAATGTTTTGTTTCCGCAACCATGCCGATGTTGACTTACTAGCATGGGCACTTGCATTGTTCTGCTGAAAACGTTGCTGTGCTGAAAGACCAGCCTCTCTCGTCGCCTGCGGCTCAGCGGTAATGACTTGGGTTTCAAAGCTTGCTGTTACTCTTGCGAGTCCTTTCGACAGGATACAAAAGCTAGCTGCAGCTTGCTATTCCAGCAATAGGCTTCTCAGGCCATCAGTGATTCTCCGCCAAAGTTATGACTGCTGAACTGTGTTGGGTACTTCTCATATCACGCCAATAACATCTTGCTCCACCGGGTCTGTATAGGTAGAACCTCCTCTCGTCGGTGAAGATTATCTGAAGACATCAAATTACTCTACAGTGCACGAGCTACTCCTAGCTTCATGACTACACCTGTGACCAATCCGTGATCAAATTCTTTCGAGGAAAATCGAGGCGAGCCACCTTGTGTGTGATAGTTAGGTGGGGCGCCTTCTTCATAATTCTCTCATAAATTTCCCCTGCGTTTGATAGCCCTCCAAACGGTCGTTTTTAGCGCAGAGTGTTTTAACTCTTCACGGATCCGGTTGACG